CTGCCTCAGAATTGGAAGATCCTCTTGTCGGCCAAGACGTAGAACTGGCCAACTCCATGGGACTCTTTCTGCAGAAAACCAACATCATTAGGGACTATCTGGAGGACCAACTTGAGGGCAGAGAATTCTGGCCCAGAGAGGTAAAAGAAAAGAGTATGATAGATGTGAGGAAGAAGAGATCTTAGCTCAGTGGCATGAATGTGTACTGCATGCAAAGGGTGCTAGGTTACATTCCGGTTGTCACTGTTTAATTGATGCAAAATGTGTGGGCACCTTTTTCTGCCCAAGGATCTTATGCACTGTCAGCTTGTGGATTTGAGGCTGCATGTATGTACACATAGGAAGGTCTCATTCACCTCTTAGAGGCCCCAGTGGTGCCCAAGATTGGTGGGGTAAGATTGAATTCTGTCTCTTGCAATCGAGGCTAATGCTTCCCTACTGGTAACTACAGCAAGAAAATGTCATCCTCTGCCTCTGTTTATACCTATTGTTACTGCTGTTTATGTTATTAAATTATGGCTGCTAATAGGCTTGTTTAGTCCCTGAGATGGGCAGCTACCATACTGACAGCTGCTTTGACAGTCTGATAGATCATAGAGTCTTCTCTGAAGATTTGGTAACAGTCACAGGGCCAGAGTAACCTTTTTCAGTAGCTGCTCAGGCAGCCACTTTGTGAAAGCTCAGTGATCAATCATAGTCTTCTCCTAATACCTCCCAGAATAGCTACTAATTCTTTAAAGGCCAAGGTAGAGGAGAAAAAATAATGAGCAGTCTGGCATTTGAGAACTACAGAAACAAGAAAGAGGGGAGAAATATGAATTGGTGTACTTATTTTAAAATATAAGAAAAGGACTGCTTCCTGATTATTCACAGTTGGTGTGGGAAGGTAACTATTTGAAGCAGTGTTTCTCAATCTCAGCAGCTTTAAGAAGGGTGGACTTCAACTTCCAGAATTCCCCAGCCAGCTGGGGAGTTGAAGTCCACACATTTTAAATTGCTGAAATTGAGAAACATTGAGTTAGAGCATGCAGGCTTTAGGGGGTAAACAAAAGAGCCAGTAATTTTGCTCATGGGTTGAGCAGAACTTTTTGAGGCTCAGTTGAGTGGAATAGCTAATTAGACATTGCAAGGATGATTTGGTGTGGTTCTAATCTAATCTTGTTATATTTTACATAATGGTGGGACATTGCTGGAAATCTTCATTGCTTGTTGGTAGCATCAGTTGTTTGCTCAAACAGCCTTCTGGACAAGTCATCTTCGAAAGCAAGATCCCTGCCAAAGCAATATGTAAAAACCAGCAAATCTCAGCTGCTCAGTAACAGTGTGACCTCAGCAACCTTGACCTCTTGGTATTCCTAGGTTTGGAGCAAGTATGTGAAGAAACTATCAGATCTGGCTAAGCCAGAGAACATTGACAAAGCCGTCCAGTGTATGAATGAGCTCATTACCAATGCTCTACATCATGTTCCTGATGTCTTGACATATTTGTCCCGCTTGAAGAATCAAAGCGTGTTCAATTTCTGTGCTATTCCACAGGTAAATTGAATAGTCTTTTTATTTTTGTGTACTTATTACATTTATATCCTGCCAAATCTGCCAAGGACTCCTGACAGTTTGCAATTAACGAAGCAGCCAGAGTTCAAAAATACAGTTAAAACATCCACAGTAAATAAAATAATAATTAGGAGTAGGAGTAATGGCAAAGTTAATTACCAAATGCCTTCTGGAAGAGCTCTGTCTTAACCATTTTCTGGAACATCAATAAAAAAGGGGCCAATACGATTTTCAAATAATTGCGTCCCAATCAAGAAACGATGCCTCCTAGTATGACAGACCTAGCCTAACTTGGCTGATCTTAAAAAGCTAAACAACTTCACACTTGGTTAATATATTTTGGGTGGGAGACTGCCAGGAAGTCCTAGGGCTGTAGACTAGACTAATAAATCAAGAAAACATCCTGGAAAAAGGCAATAACTAACCAGGAAGGCTATGTGGACATAGTTGTGCTTAATTATGCTTTTGACTTGTGGGAGGCCATTATATTTTACTCTGGTAAGCATAAATGAAGCAGATAGTAGATAATGAGCTTATTACTGCTCATCACTTGGACTAGACAACAAATTAGGCTATTTTAAAATTGAATTGGGTAGCATGAGATTCATCATGTGGTGGATACCTATTGTCTTAGCACTTGTGTCAACAAGGCCATCACATTAAGCTATAATGTGATTTGGTTTTGTTAACTTAGGTTTAAGGTATCACATGCTGTTGGAAACAAACCATAGGTTTATTCATTCCTCATACTCAGTACATTTTTGAGTGCCCAGCCCAAAACATTAATGAAATGGGATAGAGAAAATGCATTGTGCATACATCTTTCCTGTGGCATTTGCAGATAGTCTTTTCTGCTTTGCTCTATTGCTGGGTTTACCCCACTCTAAACTCAAGTTAATTAAAAAATAGTTGCTGTGTACATAAAACCTTCTAGGCCAAACTGTTCTTATGGCATAATATAATGGCTTGTTTCATGTAACTTGCTTAGAAAATGGCTAGACTACTACAACATGTTGAAAAACACTTGGTTTAGCCTTACCTAGTATGTGATATCAAAACAATCTGTAAGACTAAGACTTTTATAGGCTTCTGGTTTGTTATCTTGTAAGAACTTCTCAAAGGTGGATTCCTCTTGAGGCGCATGATGAGATACCATGTCCATGCAGGCTTTATGGAATCTGTCCAGGAACCCATTGTTTGCTTCTGCAGGTGTTGCTGTTGAATATCTGTGCCATTTATCATTCAGTTCACTGTTCTTTGGCCATGGCTATTGTATGTATTTATTTATCAAATGTATATAGCCACCCATCTCATATATGTGACTTAAATATTTTCTAGACTATTCAGCAGCATATTAATCTTCATAAATAACAGTACATTTTTTAAAATAGTTCTGTGTTTTTCTTTGGAGGCTGCTTATACACAAATACATAAATACCTGCTGCTCTTGATTATGATTCCTTTATCTCCTCTTTTTTGCCCAGGTGATGGCTATAGCTACCTTGGCAGCCTGCTACAACAACCAGCAGATCTTCAAAGGGGTGGTGAAGATTCGAAAGGGACAAGCAGTCACATTGATGATGGATGCTACTAACATACAGGCTGTCAAAGCCATCATGTACCAGTATGTGGAAGAGGTGAGTTGGGAGAGTCTAGATGCTCAGTTCCTGATGTAAATGCCTTTTAGTGAGAGCAATTACTTGGGTTGGCACGCATTCACTTACAAAAGTATGGCAGTTGCAAGCATCTGCCTTTTCACTTTGAAACTCTGTAAAGTGGGAGGGCGACTTTGTATAGTGTGGTGTAAAGCTTAGGAGGCTGGATTTGGTCTAAGGTGACCTAGCTTTGAAATTCAGGGGGTAAGTCTGGGTTTGCATAATATGCTAAACTGAAAGCAGGATAGCGGAAGGTAATTGTTGTTTTCATACAGCATGCTCTCTCTAAACAAATAAACCATATTATGGATTGGCATGATGCCTGGTTGACAGTAACTGGATTCCCTGTAGCACACCAAACTGCAAATAACATAACTTCATTTTAGCTCAGTTTAGTGTATTATGCGAACTCAGTCTCAGTCTACCCTATTTGATGAGGTGGTTGTAAGAATCAGTTTGGTTGTGGCGCCAGGCTTTTCTGTTCTCGGTTTTATTGCTCTCTGTTTTTATTGTTTGTATATTTTGTTTTATTCTCTGGTTGTAAGCTGCCCAGAGTTTGGTTTTAAGATGAGTGGCTATACAAATGGTTTAAATAAACAAACTGGTAGCCCTCACTTAATAATGGTAATTGGGGCTGGAATTTCCATCGCTAAGCAACACAGTTGTAAAGCGCAGCATCACAACCATGCCACTTAGCGACAGAAATTCAGCACTTCCAGGTGCTGCTATTAAGCAAATCACTGCAGGTTGTTAAGGAAGGATGTCATGTGGTCGCAATTTGCGATGACCTGCCAGTTTCCCCATTGACTTTGCATGTAGGAAACTGGCAAAGAAGGTTGCAAATGGTGATCACGTGACTGCAGGGACACTGTGACCGACATAAGTATGAAGACCAGTCATAACTACCACTCATTCAGAACTGTCATAAGTTTGAACAGTTGCTGAACAAGTGGTGGTTAAGGAGGACCACCTGTAGGGCAATTCCATATATTTGTTGCTGTGAACACCTTCAAAGGAAAAAATTTAAATGTGTAATATTGGGTGGAGAGCACATGGGATTTGGAAGGGTCACTGAGCAAAAATGACAGTTGGTGAAATGAAGTCTTCTCTCCCATACATCCTCTCCATGCTATCTCCCCGTTCCTTCCTCGTGCAGTTTCTCATTGTTTTCACTAGCTAATAAGGAGAGGAGGGGAAAAAAGAACAGGAATGGAAAAGGGTGGATTGTTGTTTCTCATGGGAATTGTTTATAAGGAGGAGGGAGGGGAGTGCCTGTTTTACAGGCATGTAATGGAAACAGCAAAAACTCTGACCTGGCAAAAAACTGTGGAGGAACACAAATTTACAGCATCCTGTGTAGTCTTGCTTAACTACTGCTTTCTTCCTTCACCTAGTAGTGCAATTTCCTTGCCTGGGTTTTCCTTCTCTTTAACAAAATTACAGATATGACAAAGTCTTCCTATGGAAACCCGAAGTGGGACTCCAATGATGGTCTAAAAAGCCCAAACTTGACATTTCGCTACTCCTGTGTTGCAGGTTGGATTGTGAGATGGCACTAACTGGCAGAGAGACAATCTATAAATGTGTTTTTATTAGAAAAGCGACATGGAATATTTCTACCAATTTGTGAACTGTTCTCTTATTTGTAGCAGGTGTATTTGAAGTCTTATTGAAATTCTTATTTCTTTTCTTAACTTAGCTATTAGTCTATTTTATTTATGATTTCTATTACCTTTCTGCAACTGTGGTATCTTAATGGATTTTTCTCTCTCACTAGATCTACCAGAAGATCCCAAGCACAGACCCTTCCTCCACCAAAACTCAACAGATTGTCACCACTGTCCAATCCATGAGCTTACCCAGTGGTACCCTGGTCTCCCGGACCCATTATTCACCCATCTATTTTTCTTGCATTATGATTTTAGCTGCCTTGAGCTGGCAGTATCTGAACACTGTCTCAAAAGCAGCAGAGGAATATGTGCACACTGGTGAGAACTGAGAGTGGAGCTCTTTTGTGCTGTGGTTGGAAGGGGAATATTTTGAAATGGGAGAACTTTTTGGAGTCCCAGGAATGTAAGGAGCAGGACTGTGAATGTTTCATTGCAAGCTGGTTGAACTGGAAGCCTTCACTTAAAAGCATCTGCTGCTGGTTTTGAAGCCTCTAACAGTTTCCCATGGAGACTTCTGCTTTTTTTTTCCAGCTAAACTAGCTATGGTCAATTTTGGTTGAGTCTTACTTAATATTTTCTTTTCTGCAGTTTGATCTGCATTTGTTTTTGATGTGTTTTTTTAACTCTGATGTTTCAAAGTATTTGTGAATTTTGACAGTAAAAATGTGGTGATAAAACCACTTTTCTATTTCCTGCTGTAATTCAAGCACGGCGTCTTCTGATCAAAGCTCATACTATGTCTTAAGTTGCACTAATTTAGGAATTAGTCCTTGCGTTAACTTTGAAGATAGAGATTTGTCTTATTGCATGGTTATTTTTCCTTTTCCACAAACTTTATTGTGGCTATTGGAAAGGTTTCTATATTGTAATATGCAAGGAATTTTGAGGACAGATAAGGAGGGAAGTTGTATAAGCCTGTGAGAGAAGGAAAAAGTATGGCTCTGTCCACAGTAAAGCTGCCCACACCTGAAGTAGGGATCAGTGCTGAGTATCAGAATACTTTTAACATCTTCTGTAGCCTTGGAGAAGTCCTAGTCTAAGATGGCATGCAGAGTAGGGCGGTGAGAAGATTGGAAGTACAGGCCAGGCATCCTCCCAATACATTCAGGTAGCAGCTTCCTTTTGTAAGCTCATCCCAGGTATCTGCCCGAGTGCATGGCCTGCACAGCTGTTCCCAGCAGAGCTGCTGCTGCTGCCGCCTCCACGCAAGCACTAAAGCACCGTCCCAAAGCAGCTCAGGGAGGGCACCTTACAAAGTATCTGTTCAAATGCTTTAGAGAATGAGATTCACTACATACACAAGGTTAAATCTCAAAAATGAAAAAATCAATTCAGAAAAGCATAGGCCAATGAATTAAAATTACATAATTGTAGGAATAAGCTCCTGCTGTTATTGGCTATCATATATTCCAGTAACCAATAAAGACTCCACACACTACTCCATCATGACTTGGTAGGATTTGCTCATTTGGAGGCGTTGGCAGTGAGGAATAGCTAGTGTGGAGCTTTTACAAGTGCTGATAAAAGACTCCAAGTTGAGCTCTACTCCTGGTGTCACTGGGAATATGTCCATTTGCTTTCCTGGCAACAAAATCAATTTGGTTTACTATTGCCTTCTCCTAGGATGGTTGACTCCTAATCCAAAGCCCCAGTACTTCCAAGTGGTCTCCTCCAAGTGCCAATCAAGACCAATCTTACTTAGCGTTTTCAAGATCAACCAGATGTTGCCACCTGCTGTGGCATTAGCACAAAGTACTTTGCTTTCTCTGCAACCTGAGGCCCCCCATTCTGTAAAGGGGGCTCACAGTCTATGTATATACACTGGACGTCTTAATGTACATTTCAGTTTCTGTATTTTTGTACCCTTTGAAGTACAGCAGTGAATCGCAGAAGTGCCTTTTTAAGCAGTAGACCATGAAAAGCAAATTCTCGTTCTGCCCTAAACTGAAGCAATACATCCTTGTAAACAATCTTTGAGTCACGAGCCATAGAGATTTTTGGAGAGAGCCAAGGACTACCATGTAATTTCCACAAGGTTTAGTTTTTTAAAAAAGTGCTTTGTAGTAGTTTAAGGTATGTAAGCTTAACCAAAAACATAATGCAAATTATTGCCAGTCAAAAAATCAGAATTGGAGAGAAACTAGAGGTTGAGAAAGAAAGATCTGCAGGCTGTATGGAACTCAAGATTTTCTACCTTGTGATATGTGCATAAAGCCATACATTGTTTCAAATAGTCATGTCGTACAGGAGTTTAGTCTGGATACTGTAGCCCAGGATCCAAACCAAAAAGCTATAATCAAGGCCATTATGCTTGATCTCAGCAACCCACACTATCCTCATGAGTTCATACAGAAGCCTGCAAAGAATACAGAACCTCAAGAATCAATAATTGGATAGGCATGTGAAACCACCACCTGCTAAAGTCTGGTCAGTTAGCTATGGCACAAGATGCACTGCGGCTATTTTCCAACCTGGAATGGGCAGTAGGGGTGAAGATACCCTGTACAATATACAGGATTAAGTGAACAAGTTGCCCCCAAAAAACAAATACAATCCTTTCTGTCCAGCAGGGGGAAGAATGAGAGCACACATTCTAGAAAAGTGAGGAGAGACATTTTACTGGAGATAGGAATTGGAACCACACTAATGAATTTTTGGTCACAAGATTGGTCCTAAGTGTACAAGATATTCTGCATTTAACAAAAACCATGTATTTGAAGCCAGAAGCCAGTCAATTAGAGCCTATGGATCAGATTCAATTTTAGGTTAGGTTCAAACAATAAGCCATGGTTTTTAAATAATTTGCTGAAACAGACTGTCGCTCACCTAGGCAAAACAAAGCATTTTATGGCTTCTCATAATAGCAAATCCAGTTCAATCATATCTAAGCTAGACCCATGAACTCAGTAAAACTAATGATGGCTAACAAGTTCCTTTAATTTGAAGTTGATTTAGTATTGAGCCATTTTCACAGTCCCCTTTACATGCCTGTTTCCTCATCGACATTTACAATTGTAAAAAAAATGAAATAATTCATGCATATGTGCAAGACCAGCTAGTGCAATTGCCCAAATAGTTTCAGGAATCAAGCTTAAATGACACAGTCACCAATAAAACTTTGGGGGCAGGTGCTGTTTTGTTTTTAAGGCCAAGAATCTTTTGTTTCTGCTTCTGCAATTATTTGGTACACTCACAAGAGAAACTCCTATAATCCCATATAGCCAAGTTCATCAAGGAACTGAAGTTCAATGCATAGTTACAACAGACTCAGGAGTTTGGTCTATTTGACGATTTGGTCAGTTTCAGAAAGACCCTCCCTCTATTTTTTTGTCTTCTCACTATTTAGGCACATATTGAAATCAGGAATTTATAAAGAAGAGTCAGGGCTGCTGCCACCATGATGACAGCCTCTTAAAAGTTTCTTTGAAATTTAGGCACAGAACTCAGCACCCATGCAGTAAATAAGCTACTATTTCAGCCTTTCTATTTTTTATTTCCCTGAAAGTGAGTCTGTGTGCATGAGAGAGAGGGGAGGGAGAATCCTCTTTACTACTTTGCACAATACTATTGTTTACTAAGGATTTCACCCAAAGCAGTCTAACCACCCCTGGGACTCCATGATCCTGCAGTCTATCTGACGAATGGTGCCATCAGTATGTGGAAGGTTACGTTAAAACCTCAGCCTCATCATCTTATCCAGGGGGAAAGGAGGGTTGTTTCCAATCATGCCCTTCTGCTGGTGAAACACGTTTTGATTCCTTTAGAGGTACTTCATTTAATATAACCAGTTCCATCTCAATAACCTGCTTGCCATTCTGCCTTGCCAGTCATGTTGAGCAAAAATTAGAAAGCCTCATGCTTCAGACACAGAGACAGCCGGGTAGAGACATCTGTACTGTACATTTTTTTAAAAAAGAAATATTGTAAAGGCTTAAAAAAAGCTGAAGTCTAAAATGTCTTAGAGCATAGGATTGCAACCACGTCTTCTATCTTCACAAGCATGATTATGTGCCACTCAACTGGCAGGATTATCCCAGTAGCTTCCAGTATTGGCTTGTGCGAGGGGTTCCAGCTACAACCTCAGACTCAATTCCACAGTGATCTTGCCCACGAAGAATTCGGAAGAAGCCTAGGAGATATTGAGAGAAAAACCTTACAAAAAATTCCCAAGACTAAATAAAATAAAACAAACCCTGCACAACTTGCTTGCCCTCTTGTCATATTTATTTCTGTGTGTGCTGGTGTGCATTTTGGAAGATCTTATTCACCAGTAGCTGGAGGTCCATACTTGAAGTATACAAACTGCAAAGGCCAGGATTACACAAAACTAAAGGCAAAACTTAAGAAAAGATGGTAGCTTGATGAGCCAGCTACAGAATCTAAGCAACAAATGAAATATGTTTTTCAAATTTCAGGACGTCCCTGTGGGATAATCACCCCTACAAATGCAGAGAGATCACCTACCATTTTCACCCCAGTCTGTGTTCCAGGAATTAGCCACCAACCAGTAAGGTGTGCCTTTGTCAACACCCCAGCCGAGAATTCGGATTGCATGGCCACCAACTGCTTCACCAGAGACATGCTGGTAGACACCTGCGGGGGAAAAATGTTACTCTATTCCCAAATATAAATGCTATGATTTCCCTGCTAAGTTCACAACTCAATTAAGGGATACATTCTGCTTGGAATTTAAACTTGTGAAGAAACCAAAGGTGTCACCGCTTGTGAGAGCCTCCTGCTTGGCAACTAGAAAAACCTTTGAATCCCAACTCTCACATTTCAGGCTCGTGTACCCTGTGAGATGCAGCATGCAGAACATTTCAAGCTCAAAAATATATTTCAAGTTCAGAATGGGCTGCTTCAAAAGAGCTAATTTAAGCTTGAAAAATTCAGGAATTGTCATATCACTCTGTTCTGAGTTCAAAATAACTGGTTTTCATTTCATTTCATTTCTTTCATTTCATTTCATATCCCTAGTTTTTACACAGTCATGGAAATATCACGAACACGAGCCAAGAAGGTCATGTGACCCCTAAGAAGGCAAATGCAATCTGGGGATGTGTTGAGGAGCAGAGTATGACTCACAGGAAGTAATTATCTTACTCTACTTTGCCTTGGTCAGGCCCCACCTGGAATGAGAGCAGACACAACTACAGATTAGTATTTGAGGAACTTTCCTGATGGCAAGTGCCGCCAGTGAATGGAACAGGTCATCTCATAAAGTGATATATTGTCCTTCATTGAAGGTCTTCAAACAGAGGCTGGACAATCATTTATCCAATATTCTTAGCAAATCCTGGACCAAGCCCTTGGAATATTTAATCTCCAATAATTCTATGAAAGGGAAAGCATGAATTCAACAAATGCCTACTGGAGATAAACTTAACAAGTTTACAGGACATGAACTAAGAAGATATGATGCAGTAAACTTAACAAGGGCAAGTTGGGTTTCATTCATCCATGACAAAATGTTGCTGACACTTTCATGATACAAAAAAAGTATTTTTAATTTTTTTTCAGGTGTTTCCCAAATCCTGCTCTGAATGCCAACTTTGGGAATACTTGAGATCTCCAGCCTTACTTTGAGGCATTAAGTCTTGCAAGTATTAAGCCAAATTCAGCAACTTTTATGCCTGAACCTTACAAATATCACAGGATTTAATCAGAAGCAATGCCTGTGCTATCAGAAGATTAAGCCAAAATCGTTGTAACTGCAATTAAAGCAAAATCACACAACTTTAACTCACTTGGCTACTCAAAAGTTAAAAAACATGAACGTTGCTCTTTTTAAAAATATGGCTATTTAAAAAAGTTACGCAAAAACTACTTACCTGATTTGTACATGAGGAAGTCAGAATAAACAGTAAACGCTGCCTCCACTGGTCCATTTTTGTAAATCTCAGACATTATTTCTTTCTCATTACCAGGGACACTGTATGAAGACATTCCTGAAAAGGGGAAAGTGATCACTAAATTAGAGCGCATTCAAATCATTTACTTCAGACTTGAGTTTTCACCTCATTATTTTTACTATGATCCTCTGCTGCTCATGATTGTAACTGAGAGGAAATGCATCAGCTGGGTTTTTTTACATGCACTCTTTAGTCTCTTTCATTACAAAGATTAGAAACATGTTATCACAAAGTTCAGATCTGATGCTATCCCCCATTCACTGAACCTGAGAAGAACAGGTTTAAAATAATCATTAATTTGTAACAGGAATATAATCCATATGATTTAGCTTAGTGTGTTATATGAAGGGACCCAAGTTGTCTCAAAGCCAACTGTCACTTACTTTAAGAAACAAAATCTTGGCAGTGCCATGTATGAATCCAGCCTATACAGCACATTGTATTTTTTATGCTACATCTGATTTTTGTAGACAGGTAGTTCTTGACTTAAGACTATAATTGGGACTGGAATTTCCATCGCTAAGCAATGTGGTCGTAAAGCGAGGTATCACATGAGTGCATTGCTTAGCAACGGCAATCCCAGCACTCCACACTGCCATTGTTAAGTGAATTTCAATGCTTGTTAGCTGAGGACCCACCCCAATCCAAGCCATTCTGAGCTTGGTTCCTCCCAGCCTTGAGCCACAGTAAGGTAAAGGACTGCCTCCAACTCCCCCCACCTGCCTATCTCCCCCCCATCTCTGACCTTTTGGCTGCCCTGCACTGTGCCTTGAGGGGTGGCAAGCAGCCCCAGAATCGCACTGCTCTGGGGCTGATTGCCACACCGCGTTTTAGGGGCTTCTTAGCCCTCCTTTCCCCTTCGCTCACTCACACATCCCCTCCTTTGGTCGCTTGCATGTGGCAGCACCCTCCTTCCCCTTTTGCTCGCTCACATGCACCGTGCCCCCCTTCCCTCCTTCGCTCACTCAAGGACTCTCCAGGAGCGCTTGTAGCTCTGAAGGAGCACTCCAGGGGCACTTCTGGGTGCTCAAGGACTCTCCAGGGGTGCTTCCAGTGTGCACTCTGCAGCTCACATTGGAAGCTGCTGGCCGTTTGTGAGGCTTTCTCCTTCCTCCTCAAAGCCCCAGAGCCACAGTGCGGCATGAAGGGGGCATAGTGTGTGAGACAGTGAAGGGAGAAGGAGGGCACAATGCAAGCATGCGAGTGAGCGAAGGGGGAAGGACAGTGCAAGCAAAGAAAGGCCGGGGTAGGTGGGGGAGACTTACCCAATCGATTTCTGACCTCCCCTGCTGGCTTCCCCACTGGCTTTGCTTGTGGGAAGCTGGCAGGGAAGGGTGAAAATCATGATTAGGTGACTGCGGGGTGCTTGGCAACCGGTCCTAAGTACGAATGGGTTGCCAAGTGCCCAGATCATGATCACATGACTGCAGGGGCACTGCAGTGGACTTAACTTTGGGGACCAGTGATAAGTCCTTTTTTCCAGCAATGTTGTAACTTCAAACATGTGATGGAATGGAATTATGAAGGCCAAGCTCAGGGAGATAAGCATTTTCTTAGCTCACCGGAACCGCGTGGGAGGAACAAAAGGATGAGACTGACACCTCCCTGAGGAATTCACACTGTTGTGGCTGGAGGACTTTGGGAACTGGGGTTTGAGTCTGGGAAGACTTATGTCAGGCCTAGCCCAAGGAACTCCAAGAGACCATACAAATCCAGTCCAGCTATGTTTATTAGCTACAACCTCTAGCAAGAATCTTCCCAGACTCAAACCCCAGTTCCCAAAGTCCTCCAGCCACAACAGTGTGAATTCCTCAGGGAGGTGCCAGTCTCATCCTTTTGTTCCTCCCACGCGGTTCCGGTGAGCTAAGAAAATGCTTATCTCCCTGAGCTTGGCCTTCATAATTCCATTCCATCACAAAACAGTCATTGAATGAGTGAATAGTCGTAACTCGAGGACTACCTATACTGATTTGTAATTTTACTCTCCTACACCAACCTAGAGTGGCAATGGGGAATCTTTAACTCAGCTGTAAAACTTTTAACTAGCTATAAACAATTACACCCTCTAGCCAGGGCTTTACAGCTTTCAGCCTAATCACCACACACAAAAGCCTTGAGTACATCCCTGTCCAGACACCTTGAAAAGGCTGCAGAATTGTAACTATTAATATGACAGAAGGGGGAAATTACTAAGTACCCGGAGAGCAGTGTACAAATAATTTTACTTTCTGAGTGTACAAATGTACAAATAATTTTGCCCCTGCCCACTTATGCTACTGAAAGGCAAACGCAACACTTGGCTTGAAGAGGGTTCTACATCCTGGCTGCCAACATTGCCCAGAATATCCATACACAAGGCCATATGCTAGGCTATGCCCCAAAGAAATAGAAGCCATTTTCAGTTTTTCCGCTTATAAATAAAAACAACAATAGCAATTCATACTAATCCTCTCAATTTGTTTGCACTGCTATTTTTTATTTAATTTTCTAACATGTTAATGCTGCATCTGCTTTGGAAATCTATTGTATCTAAAAGAGAATGTGAAATCTTTATCATTTAAACATTCTGAATGTAAAGCCTGTGTGTTTCTTATTAACCTGAATATGTAGTTTAAGCATATGTATTACCATAATGTTTGTCTTCCTGGTATGATGGAAAGTAACCAGCTTCACAACTTCTGACACATTCAGGGGTATCACCACCTTCTCCAGTGCATGGGGGCCGAGTCCCATTGGTGTGATGTTCACAGGGTGGGATAGAGTACGGCCTACAGCCTATTGGGTACAACACAGAGTGAAATGCCATTTGAAAATAATTTTTTAGCCGGCAGTTGCCTAAAGTCCCTACTCTAGCTCAAATCAGAGTAAATCATGCCCAGCTAGAGAAATTTACTTCACTTACACTCAAAAATATTTCATTTTGCAGTTCCCTGCAATCCTCTATTACGAACCACTAATTTAGATAGCAGCTCATCCTGCTTTCCTCTTAAGAGCTCCATTTATATTGCCCATTTTATCTTCACAGCAACCTTCTGAGACCAAATATGTCACAATATGTTGGTGACCTGCCCCAAATCACCTGTGAGTACCAAGGTTGACTGGGAACCTGAACCAGGGTCTCTGCACTCTCGGTCCAAAATGTGAACTAGTATACTACAGTAGGATTCCCATCTCCAACTCCTGGGTTGTCTTTCTCCTACTTCCAGTTCTTCCACTGGTCATCAACTGGCTCCCCTTTCTCAATATTCTAGTGAGGATCCTTTGAATAAATCCAGGCTGGAGATAGATAGCACTAATGACTGAGTCCAGATGAGCAGCAAATTGCAAGGTGGGAGTCAAGAGCAATATGTCACTCAAGTGAGACTTTCACCATCCAGTGCTGGCCACAGGCATTCCGTCTTGAAAGAAAACTCACCAACATGTGAGTCGTAAAGGCCACCAGACACCAGGCCCTTTTCAGTCCAGTATCTCCATGCTCCTGAGGGGTAACCTCCATTGCAACTGCAAGAAAATGATGCACAGCTATCACAAAAAACTGCTTTGGGGAAACACATTTTAACTGGGGATAACAGTCTGGAAGGCCGAAGAGTCTTTGGAGTGACTAATGATTATCCATGTGATGCCCAAAGAGGTACAGATAGTCCCTGGGTTAAGAACGTCCAGTTTACTAACAACCCATAATTAGTAACAGAGCCTATTGTAGCAAAATTAGAGTTAAATACACAATGATTCAAGTTAAATACACAATGGTTCAAGTTTATTTCACAATACTACTTATACAATATTATACAATAATACTGTTCTGGCTTACATA